GCTAATTCGTTCTAATAGGAGTGAAACTCGAGTCCAGTGCTTCCCTTTGGTGTGGACTCATCAGGATAATTACCCAGAACAGGAGGACGACCGTTCAAATGAGAGTGGTGTGGATATGAACAAATGCATATCCCACAAAACCCCGGATAAACAGCAGTAGTTGAACTTTTAGCCTTCAGCCAACTGGACGGCACAGTACCACCTGAGCTGCCGAGGACGCTCCTTATCACCCTACGTATCTACCAAGATATCACGCATCTTCCACCACACCCAATGGGACGATCGATTTCAACACCACATGCGTGACTTACATAACAAAACAGTGCATACGACTACTTTCAGGAGTGAATCACAGCGTACTTCCAAGTGCAGTCTTGTGGCGCAAGACAAGAGATGAACATTCGTTCAACAAACAAGGTCTCTTCCTGTCCATGTGGCTTTTTACTCCATTGTTTGAGCAAATTTTACGTTCGTGGTTCCTTTTAGCTTATATTCGGGCAATCACCATCCCGACAATACCACCCTGAGGGTGACCCGGTTCGAGAAAACGCTTTCTGAAATAGGATTCTTATATTTCATACAGGAAAGACTTTCCGGTTTACGAAGCAGCCAGTTGACACTCGGAAGAAAAAGTATGTTGGCGACGTTGAGCTAAATCGAACAACTGACAGTCTAGACAGGAAAAGACAAAGCAAAACAAGAAATTTGCCTTATGAATTTCCGGACAAAACTGTTTTACGTAAGGCACAATGCGCGCAAATAAGTCCTTGGGCGTACAGAAACTGAAAGAGTACGGAAGGGTGGAGTAAATAGTCTCAAAATGGATTAAACCAAAAATTGGGAAACGACCGGAAACTGCTCACCGAATTACGCCAGTTCTTGTGTCCTCAAAATTTACAGTCGTTTTTTTTTCAATGGAGGTAACTGTACTAGTAAAATGTGGCTGCACTCATTTGGGTTATAAAAATCATCATGAATGCAGTAGCTGAAGAAAATAATTGAGAAAATTAGTCGTTTCCACGCACTAACGTCTAATCTGGTTCTAAAGCAACTGCAGAATTCGACACTAGCTGGATTATCCCCTCGAGTCCTAATAACGAAAGCTGTTGAGATATACGGATGGTCGCTGGCTACCTTAACCCAAATGGTTCGGGCAAGGTTATCACAAATAGCTTTTTCGGTAAAGGTCAGCAATATACAGGAAAATTTTTGGTGCACTTCAAAGGTGGTTCGCTGTGGAAGGGTCTGGTGCAAACGGCTTAGTAGGCTGTCAGTTCAGGGAAAGCCACCTGCTACACGTTTCACCTAGTCTACAGGCTCATCACGCGGACACAACAGGATAGCTCACCCGATGTTCAGGCTTGGAGTTCACAATCATGACTCAAACAACCGGGGACTCTAAAGCTCACGTGTTCGTAGCATTTCCCGATGTACTGTAGACCATAATTAGCGTTTCTCATTTCACTTATGGGTGTTTGTTGCACAAACTGAGGTACCAGCCAAATAGCGGTTCATTATGTGGCCTTAGCGACAGTTAGCTAAGTTCAACACAATGTTGTTTACGTCTGAAACAGAATGCCACCACACGCACCATCAACCTAAATGACCAAGCTTCCACCGGCTGTGCAAACCCTACCTGATCAGCCCGATAGCCCTTGTTTCCACTGTAAAACGCATGTGCTAACATGCCACTTACATCAAATGTGGTAATAACCACGGTGACCACCGTTGGTGGGAGCTTCGTTACCAGCTTACAGCGAAGGGTAGATGTAGCTCTTGTATACGTTATGGGTAAATATACACTTCAGTTTTCGACGGTTGAATTTGGTTACTAAAGCAAAGATTGTGGGAGCCGACTAAGGTCATTGTGTCAGTCGGCATTTTCGCGTTACATGCTGTTTATATCATTCCCTCAAACTTGGCGATATTTCTTCGTGTGTTGCTTCAAGACGCAATTGTGCGGGCTTCTTTGTCTTGCCTAAGTAAATACTTAAACTCTTGCTCTTCAGCACAATCGACAACCGTCGGTGGCTGCTCTATCTGTTTAAGTAAGCACGAATTTTCACCTCCCCACAGCTGTCCAACGGTTGACCTGTTTCACTTTAATCAAATTTTCTTTGTCAAGAGTTTTCTGTCTGATATAGGCATAGCTGGAACCACATACCCTTCTTGAATATATTTCACCCCGAATATATTTATCTGAGCTTATCATAACTGGGACTTTTTCGGTTTACCTGATCAGACCTTTACTGTGGGTACCACGTGGAAAAATGTAGCGCGAAACTTGTTTTGCCGGGCGCCCTCCCAAATTAACAAACCCGACGTGACAAAAACACGCAACTTTCTGACAACAGAAATCATAGATTCGGATGAAGAATTTCAGATAGCAATTTGATTCACTAGGATTGTCTAAAAGTCTCCAAACTATTTTTCCTCATTACTTCCAATTTTTTCTCAGCTTATTAAACCGATTATTCCAGAAGTTTATACATGAGCAGTCAGCCATAGACCATCATTAGCAATGTGGGGGATCCATTGTACATCAATTTCGCTCCTGCTAATTTGTTGAAATATTGATAGCTCGGGTGAGTTTACTGGTTGTTGATCAGGTGGCTGTTGATCTGTTCGCCGAGCTTGCAGACGTTTCGTAGCGGTCAGTGTCCCTTCGTCCGTCGGCTGATTTGGTGCTTTGATTGGGCGCTTCCTCCTATCTAATTGATGTGTCCGTCTGAATGATATTTTCCTCCTTCTCTTATGATTTCCTCGTCTGGTTGATTTTGTGGCTCTAATTTCTGTGGTTTCGG